TCAACTTTGAAAATATAGGTTCGTTTATGGAAATATTAGCACTACCAAACCCAGATGCAGCAAAGTCGATGTTTGATATGGTTTTCGCTAGTAAGAATAGCTCGCCCTCTCCAATGTTTTAAATTAAATTAGTTTGGTTAGGGTGCGATGAGGCTGGCATATTCGTAGAATGAAAGCCTCTAAATAATTAAAGAAAAAAAAAGTATTGACTTTTTTAATGATGGATGTTTGGTAATATGTAATCGAATATCGCAGTAAAACTGTAGTAATTGTAGTTTTATCTTTGCCTTCGCAGTTCATTTAATAAAAAAGTTTTTAAATACAGAGTGTATTTGTAATATTCCAGTAAGTTTTTGATCAAAAATTAAAAAGCATGTTTTATTGTATTCGTGTAATTTCTATGCATTTAAACAAAACCGATCAAAAGCATTTCACTTTCATAGGTACTCATCTCTTACACACCTAACTCATGAAATTTTTTCTGCGTGTTATCGTATGGAAATATCAGGATAATTAATATGAAAACGGAGCTGGGAAAGTTCACACCTCCTCCATCACTAGTCTATACTACTAGTCTTCTCTAAAGGGGTAAATGAGGCGCTCAAAAATTACGATTTTTTGCAAAAAATGTGAAAGGGCTCTTAAAGTTGTGCATTTTTTATATTTTTGAATATTTAGGGAATAATTTTGCACTGAATTGCTTTAATTATCAGTATAACAGTACTATCATTTAAGTGGTAGAATACAATATTTATTACAAACATGACAATTTATATTACATTAAAAAGTTTATCTCTCAGAAAAATCAACTAACATGAATCACATTTAAGCGCACCTAGCGACATCTATTGTGAAAAAAAAAATCTTCATTTTCATTTTCAAAAGCATTTTCTTCGCAATAAAGGACGTCCAGGTGGCGTCCTTATTATCAAAATACGATAAAATAAAATATTACTATGTTTTGTCCAATAGGTATATTGAAAGGTTGTCGCCATTCCAATTTAATTGTTTTCGTCTTATGAATTTTCGATTAGGTCATGTGTCCTGACGCGAGTTCAACATTTTTTACCCATACAAAAAAGTGTACAACGCGGCTAAAGAAGTTTTCACTTCAAAAAAAATATCCGCGCAACCGACATCTGCTGCGGTTAGCGGCTCGTGCGTTATGTCACTAAGATTCAGTGGGACAGATTCTGCCATGCTTCTCAAAACCTAAAATAAAATTTGGCAACAGTGTATCCTTGTCAAGCGGTCATGTCATACTATGAATAGGAGAGTCATATTTGGTTTTATATTTAGAGAAGCATGCGTATAACGTCATACGACAATAGAACCGATTCTGGCATGCGACTGTAAATTAAAGAAACTTAACTAGAACTTTTTCCTTAAAATCTGCAAAATCATATACCTATTGTTTCCATATTAAGACCTCCAAAAACACGATACAAAACTTGAACAGGGTAGAATTCAAATACCAATCACAATTTATTTGAAACTGATTTATTTATTTAAACTGGTTAAACTTCTTATTTCGAACAATTGTCAGAAAACAAAATTTACGAAGTTATGTAGAACATGGAAAGAAAACAGTGAGCTCTGTGTGGAGGCGACGGCAACGGAAACGTGACGGTCGCGTGATAATTATAATATTACAATAACGTCGAATATTCACTACTGCTACGTTACGGCGGGCTAGTGCAGGCCCCACACCACACTGACACACGGTTACATGAATCGGCCCCACGGCAACATTCACACACATATCTTTAATGACTTCAGTGACCTGCGTCAATGGGTCCTAAACAATGTTATAAATAAAGTGTAATTATAAACAGCGTGCATCTAAATAATAATTACATTTATAACTCCACACAGACCTACACAATAATATTATCATTATTACACTATTAATTATTACGTGTGTGAAAGTGAATGAATATCACAGTACTTAATTCTGTTAATTTTTATACAGGTTGGTGTCCAATTTCGGTATTTAATTTAAAAATCGTTAGCCTTAAACATTACAAAAGAAAAAAGAAACAATAGGTACCTAGACCGGAGCTGGTTTTAACTAACTACACATTTGCTAAATTACTTTCTTGGCTTCTCTTTTTCTTGTTACATTCTCAAAATCAGCAAGCATGGAAAATATTGTGATCCATATTAATTAAGCTTATATGATTTTTTAATAAAATCAACTAATGTAACTACATGAATTTGCGGTTACTATAATAATAAGTAATAATATTAAAAATACCTGTTCTTTACAAAGTTTACATAATGATTGGTCGAAAATGAAGATGTGCTATGTATGACAGAGGACGTTCAAGAGGAGTGTGTGTCCGAAACATGCCAGTCAGACAACGAAAGTATCTCCTTTAGTGTCAGTAGTCAGCTCATCTGTAAATCCCGTCAATGAGGGTTTCAGGAAAAATTATGCCACTGGTTGGCGCTACTGTGGCATGTTTTACTGAGCGCCAATACATCGAGAGTTCCACATCCGAATAATATTATTACTGCTGGGTCATAGACATTTCAGGAAGCCCTCATTTAAATAAAAAGTAATGATATAATATTGTATGCGATTTCAATGAATTATACTAAATTGTTTACACATATTTGTTAATTTCATATGACTAACAGACTAATGATCAATTGAAAAATATAATGAAATAATAATATTTATATTAAAAAAATATTGCATAGTGTGCCTCAAAATTCTTGCTTAATTTCAAACCCGATCATTGATCAACTACTGACCCTAATTTAGAGCGGCTTACATTAAGAACTATATAAAAACGAAATATCTATTAAAGTATTATTTAATAATTTAATTTATTAAATACTTTATAAAACACTGTACCCTTACAACTGACCAATGAAAGTATCACTATAAACCATCTCGCGTTATCGCTGAATATAAATACGATAGGAAGGATCGAAACCCTCTCTTTAAGGGGCGCGTCGGGGATGCATCAAGGTCGCCAATGGGCCTGATTCTCATAAACCTAATACATTTTTTTGGCAGCAGTCTCTTCTTTTCATTCGCCAAAGCGCATGACAAGGATACACTGCTGTTATATTTAATTTTAGATTGAGAGAATCATGCCTGAATGTGACCCATTGTAAACAGACAACCGAGCCCAGTAGAAACCTTCTATCATTGCCTTTATCTTAATGGTAATTTCCACTTTAAAACACGTCAGGGTCAACGAGCAACCAATATCAAAATAGAACTATACTTTAAAATTGTATGGAAAATGTGGTAAAACCTCCATCTTATATAAACACTTTCCACTAGTCAATTAAATTTCATTAAATAAATGATAAATAATTTGCATATGAAAGGTGAGACTGCAGAAAACAATAATCATAACACAAAAACAGGGACTTTCAGCAGTCGCGGTAACTTTATTTTTAATATATACAACACAACATGTCCGCGTATTTAATTTACCATTACATTATTCTTATTAGTAACGTTATTACAGAATTCTTATCAACAATATCAAGGAATATAGTCTTCTTTTAGCATTCCTCACGCAAGAATCAAGACATTTTTTCAATTCACTGGTTTTTTCCTGGAGAAATGTAAGATTGTATATTTCACTTGAGAGCTAAGTATTTCTTTTTTGCCTTTTATTACTTATTGCATATTATTGTGGATCGACTCTGCTTTTTTACTTTGCGAAATGAGTACACATATATCTAATCTTGTAGTCAAAAAGAGACATTATTGTTCCATAATATTTTTATGTTATTGCACTACAAAGGACATGGCTAAGAAACTGCCCTTAACGTGTATAATTATTTTGCACTAGCCCATAATTTTATAATATTTTTTTATTAATTATTACGTGTTTATAATTCTCGTACAACTTTCGTGAAATAATCAAACATTTAAAAGTATAAAAATTGACTTCATGTCTGTTTCAAAGGGAAAATGTTCCGTTTTACTAAAATAAATGAAGAATAAATGTATACTAAAAATATTTCTGTCAGTATATCGAAACAAACAATATTAATTCAAAACTCCCAAAAACTTTGACGTATTGGCCCTTATTTTTATTATAACAAATCGCTGAAAGCCTAAAATAATAAATTGTATTTTTCTGATCAGGCTTCAGAGAAGGCTGTATGATAATCAATGCTTTGATTTTTGCAAATGAACAAAATAAAATTTCACAGACTTCATGTCAAGCTGACAACAACAAATTATTTGTATTTATTTTTAGTTTTAAAAATGCTTTTTGTGAAGTTTTAATCAGATAAATGTGAAGAAATATTCTAAGAAAATGCGAAATTGATGACTCTGTAAATATTTGACAACATCTTTTATCAAATGTAGCAAGGTATTGACGTCGTAGGCGATCTCATAATTTTCAAGATTGTGACTTTATCAAAAGTTCCTGAGCCCTTTTTCATAGAAATTATAAATATTCAGCCATTCTTCATTATATATTACTAAGTACAATTTTTATACATTGCTAGGGCAGTCGCTCATACAAAATTTTACCATGTCCTTTAATCTTACTTATTTAAAAAAAAAACTGTTTTGAAATTATTTTTGTTAATTTACGTTCTAAAACTATTTTATACTGTAGGAAATTGTTAAAGAAATATTCATACGATCCCAAAACTAATTGTAATTATTACATACAAGCGTCAGGTAGCGACCAATGACAGATATACGTCCACTTTTGGTGAAGGCGATGATATGGAACGCCCTTCCAACAAAACTAGCCGGCGTCTATTGGGCTCCGTTGTGCGTGTCGCTATCAACTTAATTATCTACATGATCATTTTATTACAATTGTACACTCAATTCGAATTCTTTTTTTTCTTGTCGGGGAAACACTCTTTGCACGAGGATGAAAGCTTAAAGTTTAACATCAAATCACACAACACAACAGTAATCGTTCGATCTAAATTACACAGAAAAAGAACGGAATGAACAATGTTTAGCATTGATTGATGCGGGTGCGGTATGCGGGGCGCAACTAGTCTTCCGACATGAACGAGTTCTGCGACTTGAGCTCCTCCAGCCGCGAGATCTGTTGCCGCAGGTACATTATCCTGTGAGGAGTGAACACTTTCTCAGCCGGATCGCAACATTAAGTATACAAAAAAAATAACACAAATCTATGTGATGTATAGCATGTTACTTGTGAAAAGATTTTTTAAATAAATTGAAACTAGATTTGGATCTGTGCCACCTATCGCGCTAAAATTTTCGTGCGAATTTTCTGCGCTAAAGGCGCGCATGTAACCGCCTTCACCTGCAGGACGAAGCTTCGACCTCTGATTGCTTTCCCTAAATAAACATGACGGAATATTCCAATGCTTCCCTTTTATTTCTTATATTATTATTCTCTTAATTCATTGTATATCATATGAATTACATTTTTAATTATTAATATAAAAATAAAAACATTCAAAGTATATTAATTCTTACATTCATTATTAAAGATCTGTAGCAGAAGCTTTACATATTTTGGGCATAAAAATTGTGTGCTATCCTGATTTTCTTAATTCAACTATTATTAATAAAAAATTTTAAAATATAATAATACTTAAAACAAGGCTGTATGGACTCATCGACTTTTGACGGGAAACAGTAAAAAAAACCGGTAAAGTGCGAGTTGGACTCGCGCACCGAGGGTTCCGTACAAACCTGTAGGCATATTTTAATAATTATTAAAAAATATTTTTTATTATATGATGTAACTAAAAATTTACGGTTTTCGCAATTTTTCCTTTATCTGTACTATAAGACGTTACTTCGTACCAAATTTCAAGATTCTAAGTTCACGGGAAGTACCCTGTAAGTTTTGATTCCCGTGCGAGTTTCGAAAATTTGCGGAAACGGCTGTATCTTTTGATTGCTTTGGCTTAGAAGTTTGTTTTTTTCACAGCTCCAAGAGACAATAGACCTGTGTATTAGATATGAATTTCAGTTTGATACCTCCACGCATTCCTGAGAAAAACGGTCTTGACAGACAGACGGACAGACAACAACAACAACAAAGTGATCCTATAAGGGTTCCGTTTTTTCCTTTTGAGGTACGGAACCCTAAAAACAATATTCTTTCTTTGATGCTGGTCAAAAAACCGCCAGTCAAGTTATCGTCTAGCTCAATTGCCACATAGACCGATAGTTTGTTACAATAGCCGCTAACGACACCAATTAGCCTAGCCCCAAAGTAAGCGCTGTAAGGCTTGTGTTATGGGATACTAGTGTAACAGATTGAATACATATAAGCATATTTATATAGAAATACATATTAAACATCCATGACTGGAGTACAAATGCTCGTATTCATCACGCAAACATCTGCCCCCACCGGGATTCGAACCCGGGACTTCTCGAGTCGGCGACACCATGAAACCCGGCGTACAAACCACTCGGCAACGAAGGTCGTCAAAAGACATGGGCTCGTATTCATCACACAAACATCTGCCCCCACCGGGTTTCGAACCCGGGACCTCTCGAGTCGGCGACACCATGAAACCCGGCGTACAAACCACTCGGCAACGGAGGTCGTCAAAAGACATGGGCTCGTATTCATCACACAAACATCTGCCCCCACCGGGTTTCGAACCCGGGACCTCTCGAGTCGGCGACACCATGAAACCCGGCGTACAAACCACTCGGCAACGGAGGTCGTCAAAAGACATGGTTGAGGAGTTATACAGGCAACGGGTGCTTACTTCTGTTCCTGCAGCGTGGCCTGTATCTCGGTATGGCGCACCAGGGAGCGCGCGCACTTGAGCTCGGCCGACACTCGCGTGCACTGCAGGCAGCCCAGCTGGTACGCTTCCTCGGTGAACTTGTTGGCCTGATAAATGGTATATTCCGTTAAATAAAAATATAAATAATAAATAAATATTCCCAACACTCACACCAATTAGCCTAGCCCCAAAGTAAGCAGTAACACCGAGGAGCTCGATGGCGCGCGTTCGGCTGCGATCGTTGAAGTTAAGTAACTTTCGCAGTGGTCGGTCATTGGATGGGTGACCAAAAATTTACTATCTCGAGCTCCTCCGTGCTTCGGAAGGCACGTTAAGCCGTTGGTCCCGGCTGCATCTGCAGTCGTTAGCACCCGCCAATCCGCACTGGGCCCGAGTGGTGGGGCATGGCCCAATCTCCCTATTCTATCCATAGGGAAGGCCTGTGCCCCCGCAGGGGGGACATTAATAGGCAAAGGAATTATTCACTGGAAAATAAATCGTTTCTGTTCATCTCATTTTAAAACTACCTAGTATACACGTAAAAATTTTACTCGCCTAACTTACAGTCTGAAGACTGATTTTGATTCCTACGTATGTTGTAGAGAATATTGTAAACAATTTGAAATTTATACTGCCAGACACTTTCTGTCAGCAGTTTTTATTGCCAGCCACTTTTAATGTCAAAAGCAAAATAAATAAGCTCATTGTACACACTAATACTACTACTCGATTATCAATATTTTTGTTTGCGTGATGTAATGACGAATTGTATAATTTACTAACAACTGATGCAGCTAAAACCAATCCTGATCTTGCCACTCGGTCACCGATCGCAACACGACCAAACGCGGCACCAGCGACGGCGTCAGTCTGTGTTGGTATGTGTGTATGCATGTGTGTGTGTGTGTGTGTGTGTGTGTGTGTGTGTGTGTGTGTGTGTGTGTGTGTGTGTGTGTGTGTGTGTGTGTGAGCACCTGTTTCTCCAGTATGTCTGCTGGCCAGCCGGTCACGTGTGCGGTGAGGTCGGCGCGCATGTAGTTCACCAGGGACGGCGTCAGCATGGGAGGCGCGTGGTGTAAGGCCCCGCCTACTACGGACGAGTAGCTGCCCAGGCACTCCACTATGGGATAGACAACATTTAACTTTAGTAGCGGTATTTTATGTCTGGGAAATGTGTGACGTCTTCATCGCCATCGGGAGTTGCAACGAGGATAATGTAATGTCCTTTTTGACAACCTTCTGGGGTGTGAATGGTATGTACACCGGTTTTCAAGGTGTTGCTCTTTCGGAGGAACTGAATTCAAATTTTGGTGGAGAAATTGAATTTGAGCATTATTATATTATATATACTTATGTTGTAAATTAAGAATGTTGAGACATAATTTCTACAATAAAATATTTCCGGCCGGCCCCGGGCCCCACGCTCATTACCACAGCAGTACTCACTCTTGTGGGGCCGCGTCCAGATGTAGGGGCGGCATGTTGTCCTCGCTGCCCGCGCCCTCTACTAATGCCACCCCGGCCCCGGGCTCATTACCACAGCAGTACTCACTCTTGCGGGGCCGCGTCTAGATGTAGGGGCGCAATGTTGTCCCCGCTGTCCGCGCCCTCTACTAATGCCACCCCGGCTTCGCGCTCATTACCACAGCAGTACTCACTCTTCCGGAGCCGCGTCCAAATGTAGGGGGTGCGTGTTGTCCCGCAGCCCGCGCCCGCTACTACTGCCACCCCGGCCCCGCGCTCATTACCACAGCAGTACTCACTCTTCCTGGGCAACGCCGCGTCCAGATGTAGGGGCGGAGCGTGCGGGTCGATGCTCTCAGAGTGCGTGGGAGTGGGCGGGCCGGCGTCCCGGTGCGGCGTGTTGTCCCCGCTGCCCGCGCCCCCCACCACCACCCCGGCCCCAGCCCCGGTCCCGGGCCCCGTGCTCGGCGACGCCCCGGCCCCGTTGTTCGCGGGCATTACGACAGCCGCCGCCACTATGCGAGGTAATGCCGCCGCAAGCAGCGACCCACTCTACAATTTTTAAAAATAGTAATTTTAAGAGTAGGATTGAGGAGCATGATAGCGCCTTTGGCCTGGATGCTAAGTAACTTTCGCAATGGTCAGTCATTGGATGGCTGATCAAAAATGTATTTATCCCGAGCTCCTACGTGCTTCGGAAGGCACGTTAAGCAATTGAGCCCGCGTGATGAGTCACGGCCCAATCTTCCTATTCCATCCATAGGGAAGGCCTGTGTGCCCCAGCAGTGGGGACATTAATAGGCTGATGATGATGAAATTTAAGAAATTATATGTCTCATTTGTAATTTCAAGGAATTATTCACTGGAGAATAAATCGTTTCTGTTCATCTCATTTATAACTAGTATACACGTAAAAATTTTACTCGCCCAACTTACAGTCTGAAGACTGATTCCTACGTATGTTGTAGAGAATATTGTAAATAATTTGAAATTTATACTGCCAGACACTTTCTGTCAGCAGTTTTTATTGCCAGCCACTTTTAATCTCAAAAGCAAAATAAATAAGCTCACATTGTACACACTAATACTACTCGATTATCCATATTTTATCCATACGAAAATAAGTAAGGACTGGAAGTCTAGGGATCTTTCTCTAATAGATATTGACGGGCATTGTAAACAGGCGATGCCGTTTGCGTGATGTAATGACGAATTGTATAATTTACTAACAACTGATGCAGCTAAAACCAATCCTGATCTTGCCACTCGGTCACCGATCGCAACACGACCAAATGCGCAAACAACGACTGTATACAGCTGCATGAGCTTTTGCATAGAAAAAAAAAAAAATAATAGGTAGGCATTGCCAAGTCTACACTTTCAGAATGATAAAACTCTTGGAACGCACTTACCGGTTGATTTGAATTGTCAAGCACCACAACAGGAGGTACTGCGTTACTTTCAGAATTATTCCGTATCGTGGAATTCGTCTCTCTTGCACCATAGGAATTTTCCGACAGCGGTGTACTCCGGTCTGGAGATATGTCCATGTCTTGTAATGATTGGCCATCTGAAAACAGATACAAACATTATTTTTTCTAAATACCATGCACTGACTTCTTAGACGTTCATGCATCCCTCAGTAAATTCCATCAGTCATGTCATGAATGACAAAATATGGATAGTGACAAGAAAGTCATCAGTCACTCCGTTAGACGAAAGATTATCCATCAATCATATTATAACTTTGACTGCCAGCAAACTAACAGAAAAACCTACCATCTAATGGATGCCTTATGACCCTTATGGGCCAAAAAAACCAAATTCTTTCGCCCAAAAGTCTATGAAATATGGCAATGAGGGCAAGTAATATGTTTATTCGTAATATAGTAACAAAACATAAATCTTCAAATAAAAACCTTTGCCGTCGTGCGCCGAGGCCGAATGTTTTGGTCTAGTTCGGTCGAGCGCCTCCTCGTCTCTGCTGTTGTTCCAGTACCTCTCCGAGGCACTGTTTGTTCTTTTACTATTCTTCTCTGCTTCTCTCCTCCCCGATCGGGAGCTTGACCTTTTATCACGATCTGAAAATAATCATTTTACTGCTGAAGCTGGTAAACAATCAGTGACCCTTTCATTAGCCTCTAAACAAATAGATTTACATATTTATACTTATATATTTATTTTTGAAGCATTTAACTGCCAGATGTTTAATTTATACTTTTCACAAACAAACATACATAATTATAATTATCAATTCTAATGCAGTCTCTTCATAGAACTATTCGTATTTGCTATTTGAGGAGCTGGCGAACAAAACGGTATAATTACATTAAATTAAATTTAACAGGAGCTGTTTAAAACAGAATGACATACGTACAGTTGGGTTTTGGCATGGATTTTAATTTTCAAATTTTGTAATTTTAACGCTGTTTTAGGCGGTTTTGATTGAAATTATTTGAGATTCAAATTCAATGGACCCGAAACCTCCGGACTGTAAAAAAATATGTAGTGTAACCAGATGCGTACTTATACCGTTTTGTTTGCCAGCTCCTCATTTGTAAATTTAACAGCAGTCTCTCCTTTATATTGCAGAGCATGACAAATATATACTGGTGTCAGAAATAGCATATACAAATAGCCATGCCAAGTGCCAGCAAAAGGGCTAGACGGGTTCGCAGTCATGATTGACTGATTTGTAAAGTCAACGCAATTTATAAACCGATTAAAAACTTATAAACATAGTAAAAAAATCACTGCTATTTCTGAGCAAGCATCAGCACCATCTAATATTACCACAGTTACATTATTATTCAACCGCTGCAGCAAAAAGTAATTACAATAAATTCGCTTATAATTTTACTCTGTATTACAACCGAATCTTAGAAGATTCAACAGTGATAAAGTGACAAGCTTTAGTATTGAGAAAATTGAATTTGGGAGTTTTTTCCGACCTTTTTAATATTTTCATAAGAAGTTTGTCATTGTTACATTTTTAAATCACCATAACCAGCTTAGATGTCCATTGTGTTATGAAAGATATTAGTTATTTAAATTACCATTATAATATAAAGGCACAGCACTACTTAAATCGCAGATAATACAAAATATTATTGTAGCGGGCGTGAGAAGCTGTCGTGGCAACGTCACTGGCAATTTTTTTCATGCCAACAACTAAAACAGCTCTGGAAATTGAACAAGACCGAAAAAGCACATTGAAAAGGGGTTTTAGGGAGGAGTAACATTTTATTCTAAATGGCCCAGTTTTCCATCTTCTCTCCCCATCGCTTTCTATCATCACAACCAATGGATTACAAGGTTGCAGGAGAAAAAATAGATCTTTATATAACAGATTATGAACAATACTGTAGGACATATATATGCAATATATATTTCCATTGCCTTGCACCATAAAGAGCTGACGCGAGCTGAGAGACATTTGAGAAATAGGTATTGCTGTTGCGCATTGTTGCAAATACCGTGCGATAGGGACAACAGTAACTAACGCTGAAAATTGCGTATAAAAACTGCAAAATTCGAGGTTTGGCTTTGGCCTTTTTCTCCTCGAAATTAAGATATATGAAAAAGAAAATTAACCGATAGAATAATATGTAGTTATACTAGCCCTCTATGTTTTGGTTTTTTGTAAATGCTTATTGAATCTCCACACTGATAAAAAACAGTTTCTTTTTGGCATTTTTTGGGTCTTTTAGTTTCTTTGAATCACAAGTTATCTAAAAAAGGAAGACATAGGAGCATAGAATGAGTAAAATTATATTTTATGTATGAAAATCATTTCTTAAGTAATAAAAATCAAGGAGGAATCAGTCGAGAGCGTTTGTATGGAAAAAACATTGCCCGCCTCCTCACTTAATGGTGCAGATGAAGCTGTTTGGTTAGGTAAGTTTCGTTTGCACCATTAATATGAATACTACTATTTCCCCTTCCTTTCCTTATCATAAAAAATGAATGTTAAGAAAACAAATCAATGCCGAATAATAAAATAAACTCCAAATCCTCGAATAAGTGTCATTTAAGTTTCACTCATTGTTATTACCTATTGCGAAAATTTACTATATTCATATAAAATTGTAAAATTAAATTATAACATGCAAAGAGAAATACCACATTCAAAATATAAGTAAGTATCATCACAATGGTACAGATGACACTATCTACAGGTACTGTGGTTTGTTTGGCATAATAATGGTGCAGACGAAAGTAATCAGTTTCATCTGCACCATCAATGATGCATTCGGTAAACGGGAATTGATCACTTACATTCAACGGGAATTGATCACTTACATTCCGATTGCCATGTCATACAGTATAAATACAAATTCTGTGTTTTATATTAGATATAGGTAGATATCATGACAATAATAAAGTAGTATAGAGCAGACTTGTGTTTACTAGTAGTTCGCGAGCATTAAGCATGTTACTTGGTAACGTAAAGTATGAATACAATATATAATAAGACCATAATAAAGGAATGAATAAGTTGTTCGCAAAATGGTGTCATTTTATGATCAACTACTATGCGGAATAACTAATAATAATATAATACGTTACTAACTTAAAGTTGCCTCCGCTTAGGTAAATCCATATTGGCAACAGGCTACCACACATAATCATGTTGAGTTAGTCATGCTGCGGGGGCTAATATTATTGGCTAATTACATTTGTACTTCTTCACATAGAAATAAGATAAAATTGAACAATTCGCTGTGATGGTATTTTGGGTTACAAACAATATTTATTAATTTGTAAAAAGCTCGGCACATAAGTAATTTTGCAATGCTGAGTGCATTAACAATTACAACAAACACATTAAAACACTAAAGTAAGTATGTAGTCAGCAAGAATTGAAGTCACCATAGCCCGGTTGCATGCTCGAGTGTAAAAAAAAAAAAGCGAATAAAACGATAGCGGTTGGTTAGTTTAGGTCGTCCTGGAAATCAAAGTTAGGTTAGATCTTGTAACCATGAAAAGCGGAGCAAGTGAAGCTAGCAGATGTGTACTCGCTCACAATGAAAAAAATCTTAATAGGAATATCTAAAGGTTGCAATAATCGGTCAAATCAAACTGGATGGAAAACAATATTGTGCATCCCTATTTCATACCCAGGATATGCACTCTCGTAGTACTGGTAAGATTGGAATGAATCGTGCTAATTGGGAAGTGTTTGTTCTATGGAATTTATATGGAAACGCACCCAAACTTTGACTGACCTTGGACAACAGAAGACATTAAGATTATTATTTGATGTATGATGTATCTTAACAGTATCTCATCTGATGCTATACTGTTCGTGTGAGTGGAGCCTAGTTTCGACGGTAACTAACGTGGCAGAGATACTCGCGTGTCTCACCAGTCACCTCACCTTACAGACCCGAACCCAGTATGGAATACATAGTTTTCTATTTACTGTTACATCAAGGGCAATAACTTGACTGGTACAGATGGAAACTGATAGTCACCGATATTAGGAATGCCTCCTGACGGCGACACGGTGACTAAGTTATTCCGCTTATCTTGAGCACCCGTCTGTGGAAGACTGTAACCAAATAACTATTCTGTAGGATGGGGTTCTTGCATTGAGCAAGGTAGCTTAACTATAAATTTATGTAGTAAAAGAACAGAGGTCGGGTTTGCACAATGATGGCTGATGATGTACTAAGCACAATTCGCTATCGTTAGAGACACGATATCGAATCCGATGCTTTACTCATATTAGTACTTTTGATTCAATACTTGTACTTAAAACATGATACTTTTATTCGTTCGCGATAACTCTGTACCAATAAGAGTACTTTGCACCAAGTATCGAATCATGCAAACTAAACTTTAAAACGGAACGCAACGTAGCGTAAATTAAGTAAGCTGCGTCTAAACCTTCGCTCGAAGCTCAGATTAATGTGCTTTAGTGATTACTAGCGGCCGCCCGCGACTTCGTACGCGTGGAGTTAGTTATTCGTTGTTACAGAATGCGTTAAAGAAATAAAGGTTCACTGCTCATTCCCCGTAGGTGATAGCGTGATTATTATGTAGCCTATATGTTGACCCAACTTCTTAATAATATTCGTGCCAAATTTGAAGTAATTCCATGCAGTACTTTTTGAGTTTATCCCGGACATATATACAGACAAAAGTTCTAAAAATATATTTTTGGCTTCGGTTTCGATTGTAGATCACACCCCAAGTATTCTTTTAAAAAAAAATATTAAATGTACAGTTTTGACCTTCCTACCATTTTATTATATGTATAGATGATGAGGCTCCGGGTGTGAAGTTTCGTCCATTATATGTGAAAATTGACACGTCAGAGTAAAAAGTTTTGTTTCGTTACCAATACTTAGGAGGTATCGATTCTTTTGGTTTCAATATAGTGTCCCTAACTGTCGCGCCAGCCGTCTTCGCATGGACTTGCACTTAACATCAAGTAATATGGAGTTTGACATTGATTTGCCTTCTTTGAGGGTTTATAAATCAACGTTCTTCATCGTTTTCCGAAAGAAAAATATGCCAAGTGATATTATATGTAGTGCATTTGATATCAGAGATTTACAAATAAGGCTTTCAATTTCATAGCCAAAATATGAGAAATTATTTTATTTTTAACACATCAATTAGCCTAGCCCCAAAGTAAGCACTATAAGGTTTGTGTTATGGGATACTTGGGTAACGGATAGAATACATATACCTACTGTATAAGTATATTTTTAAAGAAAAACATATTAAACATTAATGACTCGTATTCATCACACAAACATCTGTCCCACCGGGGTTTGAACCCGGGACCTATACACTATGAAACCCGGCGTACAAATTACTCGGCCACCGGAGGTCGTCAATATGAATATGAATCGACACTTGCAACCCTGTTGCATTTTACCCGTTAATATCGATATAGTTTCATATCATGTTCGGTAGTCATGCTAATGGGGTTAGCTGTATGTACAGTTAACATAAAAGAGAGCAACTTTAAAAAAATGTTATTTAGAAAAAAAAACATACCTAATTCATTACTTAAAGTTTAAGGTATCTAAAATACTTTATTTAACAAAAAAATGGCATCATTGAA